AAAAAAAGATTGTGTATTTGACCCTGGTGTGATCCTAAAATGGTCAACAAGTTAAATGCTCAACATTTTTTTAGCTGTTAGACATTTATTTTATTTTTTTCACCCGTAAATGTTATATTTAAAAAAAAAAAAAAATATATTTTTATTAAAAAAAACTACAAATTGTCTAACAAATAAAAATTCGGTTGTCTAACTTACACAATGTGTGTTTTGTATTACAACGGGAACCTATGAACTGACTGAAGTGTTCAGTTCGTACAAAAGAACTAAAACAAAAAAAAAATGAAATTACAACTCGAACGCGGAGAGATTTGAGCCGAGGCGATTGAAATCTATCCGCAAGACAAATACGCCCCGTGTAGTGCTGACGGGTCAGTGCGTAATGTCCCCAAAGATACAACGGCTTTAACACTCGGAAGCTGTAGCACACCAGCCTTCAGAGTCCAGTCGAACAAGAATGAAGTCGAGAACCGAGAACTATGATATGATGCGTGAGGCTTTTGAGAGTATCAGATTGCATGAAATGCTGTGTTTCTTCTCTGCAACTCAATGTCCTATTTATAGGACTTCCACCTCTGAGGGAGAACCAATGGTTACACCAGCCACTTAAGGCTGAGATAAATGGCACAATTATTCTAAAAACGTTTCAGATGTCCAGGTTCGTTGTACCTGGAGAGGTCTCACTCGGGTTGGGTCAAAACCCGAGTCCAAATCCAAATTGAATTTTCTAGTTGGGCTAAAATTGCAAATAAATTTGCAGCAAAAAGATATATAGTGATTGGGCCCAAGGCCCAACCGCCCAAGTCCAGCCCAAAGTCCAATTGCCAAGAATCAAGAACCAAGTCCCAGGCCCAGGCTCGGGCCCGAGCCCGTGCCCGAGCCGGCCGGCCGGCGGGCGCGCGTGTGGCCGAAAATAACACCAACACTTGGTGCATAGCTTTGTGCTTGTTGTAACCTCTACAACTCTCTTTATTATAATAAAGAGAGTTAAACTCATTTAAAAGTCCAATGTGGGAGTGACTCTTGACCCTTCAATTCCCACAACCAACGTTTTACGTGCCCTTTTATGGCTAACTTTAACAATTTATTTCTCACTCACCGAAAATCAGTTTTGAGAAAATAAATATACCACGAGTATCTACTCGGAACGTAGAATTTTTCTACAATATTTAATTCAACTTAAATTAAATATTTAGCCATAAAAAATTCAATCAAAACCGGGTCAAACCCAAGTTTATAAATAATTTTTTTCCAACAAGCATATGAGTAGAAATTTACCTATCACATGTTCTGAAATTGACTATTTACAGTGGTGAAAATTTGAAAATAGCCACTTACACTTTTTTTATTATTATTATAATTATTATTATTATCATCAGTAGAAATTTTCCTTGGTGAAAACAGCAGCTTTTACTTTTTATACTATTGTATTTAATTGATGTTATGTTGCATCAACTGGTAACATCCACTTAAAAATGGTGGTGTTACAACCTCATGATCTCCATTAAGTATGAGGTTATGAGAAGTGTGTTTAAAGTCTTCATTTAATTTGAGTTCCATGAAGACAAGTATAAATATGATGCTTTGTGCATCATGAAAAGACACACTACGAGACAAACAAATAAACTATGAAAATATACAAATATCTTTATATAGTGTTTTTCTCTTGTTGAGCCAAAACCATCACAAGACGGTTCGGGTTTTAGAACGTGGAGGATACCGACGACTCTAGTAACCGTTGGATAAAAGATACGAGTAAATTTTTGCTTCTGATATATAAAGGTTAGTCCTATACATATATATATGTGTTATATAAAATCACTAACATACGCCAATAAATTGATAGTGATTTACGGGTAGGACTTACTATTTTTTGAAGAAAAAAAAATGTGATTGCAAATTTAATGATTTGGTCGATGATGGACTATGGAGCTTGCCATGACGTGATGGAAAACGAGAGATGGAGAGGACGATATAGATCCATTGTGCAACGAACACGGTTGGACCAAGTCGTTGTTATAAAAATAATAAAGT